TCACACCAACCTTCTCTGTTCCGAGCTTATCCAAGCTTTCTTCATCGCTTAACTGTTCTATCCCAGGCAACAACTTGGTGACACTCCTCTGATCCCCTTCCAGTGCAATTACATCCTTCCTATGGTGTGGTGACAAGAACTGCACACTGTACTCCAGCTTTGGCCTGACCGAAGTCCTGTACAGCTCCAACATAACCTCGCTCTTTGGATAATCAATGGCTTGTCTGATAAAGGTGTGTCCCATATGCCTTCGTAATGACTCTATTAACCTGTCCTGCCCCTTTCAGGGATCTGTGGACAAGTTCCCCCAAATCCCTCAGTTCCTATTATCTTCCTAGTGTCCTGCCATTCATTGAAAGCTCCTCGACCCACTGACTGTGAGACTGAACACAGCAACCAATGAATTCAAATTAAAAGTTGATAGTGGCCATTGAATGCCTTTTATCCACATTGCTTGTGTTTTGTCAAATAGATAATGAGTGAGTCAAACATATTTTCCCTTTCACAAGACCATGGTGACTCTGCCTGTCTGCACTGAGATTTTGAAGTCTCTTGTTATATCGCTCTTGGAAATGGATTTGAGCATTTTCCCCCTCACAGGCATCAAGCTAACTCTTTTTATTCTTTTTACTAGCTTGAACGTTCAGGGGTTGGTGTTCCTATGTAACTGCTGCCCCTGTCCTTATAGATGGAAGCGGTCATGGGTTTGTCAGGTACTATCTGATGACCTTTGGTGAATTTCTGCAGGCCACCTTGGGGAAGGAACACACTGCTGTTGCTGAATGCCATTGGTGGATGGGTCTTTGTGGATGTGGTGCCAATCAAACAGGCTGCTTTGTCCTGGATGCTGTCAAGCTTCTTGAGTGTTGTTGGTATGTTTAAAGAAATGTTGTGTTGTAGATCACATGGCCCACACTGGAATGGGTGATAGCTCCTCACAACTTCTGCAATTGGACAGTGTGATAGTCTGTGTGCACTGTCCTGTGTCTGTAACTGTGTAATGGCCAGCCCCTTATTTGTATTTTTCATTGAAAATAACAATTGTATTTCTTTAAATTATCAATGTTCAGATTGGACATGGATCTCTCTCTCTCTTTGCTGCATCGAGAATATTTTGGATTGACTTTATTTTAAACTGTCTCCAAATGCTGTGAGTAATTTATTTAACTGCAAAGAAGCAGGTTTGATTAGACCAGCATCAACGTTCTCAAAGACACATTAAAAATCCCATGTGAAAGGGAAGGTCGCTCAGTCACCCTGAACCAGCCCTCCTTCGATTGAACATGGAGCAAAAGACTTTCTTGGTCATGCTTTGGGGAAACATCAAATTAGCATCTTTGCCGCTTTTTATCTGAGCGCACCTGAAACTTTCTGTGTGCACGTTAACCCTTTAAAATATCCAATTATTTCACATGTGCCTCTTTTCTAAGGGGTGGGTTTTATAACAATTGACAACCGTATCGATTTTAAAGTTGGGTGGGACACTGTAAATAAAGTGACTGTTCTGCTCATTGCCTTCTCTCCTAGCCCCTAATGGAGGATGGGTTGTCAAGTACCTGCTTTGGGAGTCCCCAATACCCACTGACACATGCCCTACTGAAGACTATTTACCTCTTGTCTCTCCTACCCCCAGCCTCTCTCCCTTCCCCCCTCCCCTGGCCAGCTTGGGAATCCAATCCCAGCTTGTCTAAAATGCTCGGGTTTATGGTCAAGCTCGTGCCCCATGCTCTCCCTCTTTTGGGGCTGATATGTCTAATGAAGTGAAGAGAACTGAGTATGAGGCAGGAAACTGTCTCAGACAGAAAGAAAGAACATGTTTACCATCAAACAATACAGCATAGAAGGAGGCCGTTTGGCCCATTGTGATGATGCTATTTCCTTGATGGAGATATCCAATAAGCCTCATAATTCAATTTCAGAAATCCACCCATTGGTGAAATAAAAAACGAGAGTGAACCTTTACTCAGTGTTACATTTATTTACAGAGTGAGACAATACAAGCACAACCCAATAAGTTTCAATACTCTTTGTTTTTGTGAAACTGAAATTGAGGGCCTACACCAATAAACCTTCTCTAAAGCCTCCAAATCCTTTTGTAAGTGTGGCAACCAGAACTGGACACAATATTTCAAATATGGCCGAACTAAAGTTCTATCCAGCTGCAGCTCAATCCAACAGGCAACTCTCCCCCATTCCCATCTCTGTTTGTCCTGGAGAAGGAAACACCAACACAAACCTGTTTCAATGATTTCAAACCCATTATGACACACCCACAGACATTTCAGAATGTGTTTCATTTTTAAGGTGCACTGGACATTAATACCAAACAAAATCACAGTTTCAACCTCTGCACAATGTTGCTCACAGTGTCCATAACAATAATACTGACAGTTCCAGTTTTCATTCCCCTGAAAGATCTTTCATCATCCTGAATTCTCTTTAATTTCCTTGTTTTTATCCACTGATACATCCTGACAGGTGCATGGTTGGGGAGGACAGAAGCAGACTCACCGGTGATAGGATTCAGGTTGAATGTTTTGCCAGATCTCACTGTGTGGATTCATAGTCTGACTCAGAGTTTTCCAAATGAATGTTGCTGCATGGACCAATATGATGGACAGTCATGAGGGATTTAGCGCACATTCCAGAAGTTACATTGACCTGCACCCATCCCTGTGAGAATTGAGCTCAGAGACCTTGATGTTGTATTGACTGACGTTCTTGGTCAAAGACACGTTTACAGTGCATAAAGAATATAAAGGATTGTCAGGCAGTTCTCTGGTTAGAGGGAGCTGTATCCTCAGGAGCAGGCATGCAGTTGATGATTTACAGATCTGCATCGACTGTTTACCATCAGCTCAGTGTCAGAGAATTGTTCTTGAATGTGGTTACGGGACTAAGTGTTACAGAGCAGTTGTGGAGAGGGTACTACAGCCAAAATTATGGCATCAAATCCTTCCTCTTATGGTGAGCTGTCAAACAGCTGGTGTAGTCACAGCCTCCAATTCACTTCATCATTCTGAATCAGCTGGCTGCAAATTAACTTCCCTCCTCTGGCCATGTTTGTGCCATTCTGGAGGGAAGTGGCTGCTGGGGCCAGGTTCGATATGAGTGCAGGTGCAGAAAGCAGAGAGCTTCGTGTTCCAGCTCCAGTCCCTGAGCCAGCAGTGTCAAGACCCACTTCAGGCCTGTGCTACACAAGAGCACATCCCATTAATTTATATTCCCAGAGGCCTGGAGTGTTCCGAGCCATTGGTAACAGGATCAGAAGCAGGAAGGTTGGTAAAACAAGGCCAGGGATAGGGAAACCACTGGCCCTTGAACTCCCCAACCCTCCTCCTGGTCCAACATTCCTGAGGCTCACAGTGAAGCCAGTGAGCTGCTTCACCAATGTGTGTACTGACACAATCTTTCTCCGTCATTGACTGGATCCCAATCAGATCGCAAGTTTTGATCCCAAGGGATCTTGAGGCCTCACCAATCAGGCTCAGGGTGTACGTCCCGGTTCCTGGATGTATTGAAAGTTCTGGAAAAGCAACGTTGAAGAGGGAGCTGGTTGGGGAAGGGAGGGGGAGGGGACAGGGCGAGTGGAATACATTGTGAGCGTCTGAAATGGGATTGTCCCCCACCCACTTAGACCAATGGGACGGTCAACCATTAAAGCCACAGTGAGACAGGGCTTGTGAGGAAAACATTGAGGGCGATGGTGGTGGGGGGAATGACCACTACAAGGAGAGCACGAAATAATGGGAGGGTGAGGGGCAGAGAAAGACAAAAGAAGTTTGGGGAAAGGATGGGAGAGGGAGGACTATGAAAGGAGGGAAGGAGTACATGGAGGGAAGGGAAGTGAAGGAGGGGGAGCATGGAAGGAATGGAAAGACCAAAGGTGAGATAGCAGGGATGAGGCGTAGGGAAGAAGGAATATTTACTGGCTACCCCCTTCTTCCCTCACCCATCAAAACGCTAGAAGTAATGGAAAGGGAACAGACCCCCTGTTTTCACAGAAACTGTCTGAGAGAGGACCGAGATTCTGATATGAAGCTAACAAGAACAGGCTGATCTAGGACAGAGCCAGCATATCCTCAGGGACATCTGTAGAATGATTCCAGTCAGATGTGAGTTTAATTCCCATTTCCTGAGGCCACATTGACACTGACAGTCACACTTGGCCGTCCTTTTTTACAGCCCCATCCTGTCCTTTGGCTGCCAAAGGTTTCAGGAGAAGAGGGAGTCAAGGGGTCAGAGGTCAGACAGGAAAATAGAGGGAGAATGCAACTAGATAAGCCACCATCTTATTGAACAGGATAGCAGATTCAAGGAGCTGAATAGTCTACTCCTGCTCCTATATTCCTGTGTCGCAAAAATGAGGGCAACAATTCGGAAATGACTGGCAAAATAAAACCAACCCAAACTGCATGACCAGGCAAGATTAAGGCATCAATGAAAACAGAAACTGAGCCAATCACGTTGAGAAGCAGGAATGGGTCTAAACCAGAGACCCAGGCAAGGTTCTGGGGAGTTCAAATTTTAATGAACAGCCTGTGAATCATTATTTTTCCCAACAATGTCAAGTGTATCCAATTTAAGGCACAACTTGCCTCAACTTGGTCAAGCTCAGCTCTGCCTGGGACTGTCCATTGGCCCATTGCTGGCTGTTAAATGGGAAATTCCAATAACCAGACCCAGAAGGGCTGAGATTCTAAATCAGAATGGGCTGGGACCTGGAGGGAACTCACAATTCAAGCTGTTTCCACAATGTCCCTGCTGTTGTTCTGCACAATACTGGAGACAGCAGCAGAGATAGCTCCAAATAATCTCAGTGACAGACTGCACTGCCTCTTGCACCTTACACCCCCATGCTGAGCTGCTGCACTGTCTGATGGCCCAGTAATCTCAGGGTCTGAGAGAGTCTGGCTTAAAAAGAAGGGAATGATTGCTTTCTCTTTGATCATTTTCTGTCTGAGCCTGTTGTGGAACAGAGACTTTCTATTTGCTACAAGTTATGATTTGTAAGTGTTCTGGTGATACTGAAGTTCCTCCTGGATGTGGCTCCTGTTTCTTAAAGTCCTTGTGTTAAAAATGCCGCAAAAACCAACAGCTGTGTGCCATTTCCTTACCACAACAGGAGGAACTGCTGCTTGCTCACTGCTCTGTGTCCGATCTGAAAGAAAATACAATGAGACCTCTTCAGAATGGAGCAAAGTCATGATCGAGCTCTTTAAACTGGGAAGGAAAGTGAGGGAAATTGCCAGTGTCATTTCGGGTAGTTTTAGGGGAAGGCAGCTGATGGGAATCCTGGGTACTGCTCTCCGTTCGAATGTTCATCATGTCAATAGAAACACTCAGCACAGAGAGAGGACCATCAGCCAATCACACCCATATTAGATCTTTGAAAGTGTCATTATCCTTAACCACACAATCCTGGTCTTTATCAATAACCCTTTATGTCCTGCATCCTCAAATATCTGTCCAAACCCCTCTTCAAATTCCTTATGGAATCAGCTTCAAACACCTTTTCAGATCGAGTGTTACAGATCCCAGCAACAATCTCCAGTGAAAAATTTCTCCTTATCACCACTCTAAGTTTTTTTTTTCCTGATGAATGGTGTGTAAAATATATCAGTTTTGAAATGTGGAATGATTCAAAAAGAGCCACATATGAACAAGGCTTAGTGCTGTGGGGATGCTTTTAAATGGTCAGAAGGTCATTCTGGAACAGTGATTCAATGCAGTTGCTCCAAGAAGATATGTGACTGCCATCAGGGTGTTGGGTGAACATCTGGCGTTTTATGGAAATAAGTTAGATATACTTCTGAGTTTGTGACAAGCAATGTAAATGCATTAAGCTTTTAATTTTGTTTTGAGTTCATTTCAAAAAAGCCCCGATATTAAATTGAAAAGAAAAGAGTTGAATTCAGAATGAAGTTTGAATTTCTCTCCCAGCTGAAGTGTTCAGTGGAGAAGAAACCAATCACCAGAGCAGCAATGTTTTTCCAGTTTGGGAATTTTTTCAAACAAGGAGAATTTGGGACAGAAACCTTCAGAAAACTTTTTTTAAAAGCAGTTGAACCACTGGAACAGTGATAGCTTCATGCAATTGGATTCAGACAAAAAAATACAAAATTAATTTGATTGTTCAAAACAGAGAAATGGGCAGGAGTTGGTTTTTTTGGAAAATAAAGAGTTGAAATTGGAGTATAACTTCTCTAGACTCGAGTCTCTGTCATGGACAGTGATGGGAACGTTGGTGAAATAATGTTCTGATTCAAGTGTTCAAGTTCTTCTCAATGAAATAAACAGATACACAATGTGATTTGTTTTTTTTTCCCTCTCTCTTTGGTGGAATAACCTTAATTTCAATTGTTATAAAACAAAGTCCTGTGTGAATATGTCTCAGTGACTGACAATGATGATATATTGAGTTAGTCAGGCAAATGAATTGGCTTAACCATTAGCTTATTAATTACATCAGGAATCTAACCATGTAAAACTCATTTTTGGAACAAAGAATAATTCTTGCCTAACATTGTGACAAAGATTAAATTAGTTTGATATACATTTACTGTTTAATACATAGCATTCTGCTCTTCAACAGGGCTCCTAAATAAATGCCACACATTAGATTTATTGAACATTTACCACAAAATAACACCGTGATCATCACACTCTCGGGGCTGATGGATTTTACGCAATGCACCACAGACGTTTCACATCAGCTTAAAAGACAAAATGGATGATCTGGAAACTTGGATCATTTACTAAAAAGAGCAGAATTTGTGTGAACAACAAAGGAAAAAATTTCACCACAACTAGATGGCATTGTGGGAAACTTGACCAAGTTGTTGCCGTTCCTGACTGTGGAATGGAGAGATTTCGTCAAGAAACTTGCTGCACTTTCAGCTGGTTGAGACCAAGAGTATACTGAGAGAGAGAACTGCAACAACACAAGCAAATGGCCGGTATAAGTACATACAAATACAAAGAAAGGCTTCAGAATCTCTCTATATCATTGGAAGGACACAGGCTTAAAATGCATTAAAGGGACAATGAACAAGTTGGAAACAGTCTATCGAGGGGATGAAGAATGAGGGATCATGGATACAAAATACAACAGAAAAGATCGAGTCCAGACACTCTGCAAATCCGTTCACCCAGAGGGCGGGGAGGTTCTGGGGGGTCACACCAGATTAATGGAAGATGTACAATCAATGTTAACATTCAAGATTTGATTGGAAAATGGTGTGAGGATAAATGGGATTGAATGGATGGAGGAACAGGACAGGGAAATGTGATTTGGGCTTTCTGCTGATGTGGAAGTGAAAGACCAGCACAGGTTGTTGGACTGAGTGGTCTGGCACTCCCTTGGCCTTCCCAGCAGGAGGTACTGTCTTGCCAGTGAGCCGCCAGCACTAATGCAGACTCTGACACTGGGCTTCGTGGGTAATGATCCGGTACCTACTGGAGATCCTGCAGGTGATGCCTAATGCTTGACCCATTCAAAGCTTTCTGACTGTCATCAACAGGTGCCTGTGGCTTGGCACTGGAGGACATACGATACCAGAGATGAAGCAAACTGGCAGCGACTGGGCATCTGGATGTGTGTGATGGTCTCGACAGTCACTGATCCACCATTTACAATGGATCTGTACAGTGCAGTGGGAATATCAGCACTCACTAAAAACAATCGCCTCAGTGTCAAAAACAATAACTGTGCAGTGACAGAATCAAACACAAGATGAAATGGGATTTACCCTTGTGTGGAGTCCTTTACTGATGAGCACGGCTTTTGTTTCCGAAGGAGAAATGTGAGCAGGACAATGCAGATCATAACAGCGAAGCCCAGGACAGTGCCAATGATTAAATTAGGATCTGAAGTCTGGGGACTACCATGAGAAGAGTCTTCTGCAAAATATCAGAATCACACACACAGTCGCTTTAGTCTGACCAATGTCTAAGACTGTCAACAACACAATTCTGAGTTCCTCAGGATATTAACTCCCCTCCTGATCCCCAAAGCCTGTCCACTATCTACAAGGCACAAGTCAGGAAAGTAATGGAGTGCTGGGTGAGTGCAGTTCCAACTACACTCAAGAAACCTAACACCATCCAGGAGAAAGTAACCCACTTGACTGGTACCACAGCACAAACATTCACTCCCTCCGCCACCAACGCTCAGAAACAGCAGTATGTATTACATACAAGATGCACTGCTGAAACTCACCAAAGAAATTCAGACAGGATGTTCCAAACCCACAACCTCCTCCATCTAGAAGGACAAGGGCAGCAGATACATGGGAACACCATCCCCTGCAAGTTCCCCTCCAAACCACTCACCATCCTGTCTTGGGAATACCTGGCCTTGATGACCATTCTGCCCTTCCACCGATGAAGCACAGAAGCCGTGTTCTCCCTTCCCTGTTCAGACCAGCATTCCCTCCCATTGCCTTACCAGTTACAATGAGCTGGCTCCCTGCTCCATAGATGTAGCTCCACACACTGCAGCAGTAAACAGCACTATCATTGAGATTCACATTCACAAGGCTCAGAATGTAACTGTTCCTGCTGACATTCCTGGAAACATGAACACGATCGTGGAAACCCTGGGCCTTGCTGAGGGTGCCATTCACAAACTGGCTTATCATCCACTCCATGTTGCTGCCAGGTCGCTGGTAGTGCCAGTGTACATCAGTGTCAATCACACTGGCATTGTACATGGCACATTGGAACTTAACAGTTTCACCCTCTGGTACCTGGCTGACCACTGGATACTGAATAAGGACTGGATCAGCCAATGGATCTGTTCATATCGAAGAGAAGAAATGTAAATTGAGCTGTAACATTTTTTAAAATCTCCTCCAGTTTAAATGATGATTTGTAGCTTATGACCCATACCAGCCCCGCCTGCAATCACAGTTTCTTGTCCCTGAACCATGACTAATCTCCAATTCCCTAATCCAAGGGGTGTGAGCACCCTTTGGAGAAAGGTTTCCAGGGAACTTTCCCCTTCCCTGATGTGACACAATGTCTGCAGCTCAGACTTCAGCTCCTCAACTCAAATCCGACGTCCTCAAGCCTGAAATATTTACTCCAGATATAAAAACCGAAAGAACTGCGGGTGCTATAAATCAGGAACCAAAACAATATTGCTGGAAAAGCTCAGGCATATAAACTGACATTTTCCCAGCCACCATTAGTTCTGAGGAAGGGTCACTAGGCCCGAAACGTTAACTCTGTTTTTTCCTTCACAGATGCTGCCAGACCTGCTGAACTTTTCCAGCAAATTTGTTTTTGCTTAGTGCAGATATGTTCCCTGGATGCCATTCTGTTAAACTCTCAAATCTCTGTTATTAATGATAAATACAGGCTGATGGAGTAATATTGAGAAAACATTACAGTGTGCAGCTTTGGCATAGAACCCTTCATTACAAGAATACAGCGTTAGATAATTACAGAATCACACCTTATACCACCCAGGCTTCTCATGGGCAACAGCTTCTCCCTAACAAGGCACCATCCATTTGCCTGTTTGTTGTATTTAGTTACACGAGTTATAACATAATAATACACAACAATTCCATGCTAACTGAGAGCTGGAACATGTCACCTGAATTCCCATTGTTCCCATCAATTTTTGTCAAAATCATTGGATTCACTAAATCCTTCAGGGAAGGAAATCTGCCATCCTTATCTGGTCTGGCCTACATGTGACTCTAGATCCAGTGCAATGTGGTTTGTTCTTATTTCCCACTGAAATGACCAAGTAAGAGACACAGTTTGAAGGCAGTTAGCGATGAGGACCAAATTCTGGCCTTGCTAAAGATGCCCACATCCCATCCAAAATAAAGAAAAATTTCTCTGACAGGCACTCTTGACCAGTCAATTAACTTGAGCAAAATAAAAACTGAAAGAACTGTGGATGCTGTAAATAAGGAACAAAAACAAAGTTGCTGGAAAAGCTCAGCAGGTCTGGCAGAATTGGTGAAGGAGAATAGTTGTTAATGGGGATTATTAGTGACTAACAACAGGTGGTGTGTAATGGCAGGCTATGTTCTGCTCGCAAAAAAAACTCCTATGATGCTGCTTGGCCTGCTGTGTTCATCCAGCCCTGCACCTTGTTGTCTCGGATTCTCCAGCATCTGCAGTTCCTACTATCCCTGAACTACCTGTTGCCTGCCACTTCAATGCACCACCCTGCTCCCTGGCCAACATCTCTGTCTCTGGCTTGCTGCAGTGTTCCAGTGAAGCCCAACGCAAGCTGGAGGAACAACACCTCATTTTCCGCTTGGGGACCCTACAGCCCTCCGGACTCAATATTGAATTCAATAATGTTAGGGCCTAAACTCTCCAATGTCCAAGCCCCCCACCCCACACACAGCCTGCCATTACACACCCCCTGTTGTTAGTCACTAACAGTCCCCATTAACAACTATTCACCCTCCCAGCCTGATCGTTATCAAATCCTTTGTCTGTTCAACTGTCTTTCTCTCTCTTTGGGCTCTATCCTATCGTTTACTCCCTACCCCACCCACCTCCCTATTTTCTGCATATAAACTGACGTTTTCCGATCCACCATCAGTTCTGAGGAAGGGTCACCGGACCCGAAATTTTAACTCTGTTTTCTCCTTCATCAATTAACTTGAGCAGACTGACGATACCATGGCTTGGAGAGGTTTAGTGTGTCTTTTTTTTTGAAGAGAGATTTTAAGACAAAGGTACTGAGCTGTTTGTTTGAATGCAACAAGTTAAACAGCTTGTGAGGTCTTGAGTTTTTTTTTAAGTTGGAACAGTAGAACGAGCCTGAATGGGTGGGGTCAAGCTGCCAAAGGACCAAAAGTTTCAGTTTTAGTTTTTTAGTAGCAGTTGCTGCTGGGTCTTAAAGTCAGGGATTAGAAACTGCACTTTATCTCTCCCTCCTACTGTCTCTCTCTTTCTCTCAGAGTTTTCTCATGATACTTTTCCACCTGGACTGGAGCATCACATCTGAGGACACAAGCTATTTCAATGAATTTGCCTTTACCAAGGCTGTGTTTATGGGATGTTACTGTATTGGAACAGTTACTGCTTAGTAGTTTAAATAATTTTTTATTTTGTTATATTTACCAATAGAGTTAAGCTATCCCAACTTCTTCTTTCTTTTCTCTTTTAACTGTCATGTATGAATGAAGTGTGTTTTGCTTCAAACATGGAGGTTTGACCAATTGAGTGGCATCTAGAACACAATGCCTAGCATTTGCCTTTTAAATAAGAAAATGTTAGGGTCTAGTTATCTTCTTAGTATATTTTGAGGGGTTTGGTCTGGTCCATAACAGCAGCATAATAAAAACTATGGCTACAAGAGCAGGTTGAGGTGAGGAACTTTGAGGAACTCTGAGTTCCACAGCCTGCCTAGCATCTAATAACAAAGCAGAAATCAGGAGTATGATGGAACCACTTGTCTGGATGAGTGCAGCTCCAACACTCAAGAAGCTTCTCACCATACAAGACAAAGCAGCCACTTGATTGGCACCCCATATAACACCTTCAACATTTCCTTCCTTTAACACTGATTCTTGGGTGTACCATCTACAAGATGCCCTGCAAGTACTCACCAAAGTTCCTCCAACAGTAATGTTTGAACTCACAACCTCTATCATCTGAAATGACTGAAAAGAAATGAGATGGAGAAGCAGAAAGACAGAGAGATGAGAAAGAGTTTGAGATTGAGGAACTGGTCCAAGAGGAGAAACAGTTTATTCTATTTGTGAATAAAACAAGAGAAGGTAACAGTTCTATGCTTATATCGACCTCCCTGCTTTCTCTTTACCAGAGGAATTCAACACTTCCTCCTCTCCAATAAATCCAAATAGAAATGATTACTGTGTTAGATTGTAGTAAGGTAAACAGGACGTACCCATTACAGTCAGCTGGGATCCATTCCCACTGATGTCTCCCCACACATTACAGTAATAGACACCAGTGTCACTGCGCTGCACATTTGTGATGGTCAGAATGAAGCTGTTATTGGAGGGGTCTCTGGAAGACTGGAATCGGTCAGTGAATCCTAGGCTCCATTGTGTGATGTTCCTCACATCATCTGTTAAAACCCACTCCGTGTTATTCGCTGGGTGCTCCCGATGCCAGTGAACATCAGTGTGTGTCACTGCGACGTTCCTCATGGTGCACTGTAACTGGGCAGTGTGACCCTCGGTGGCACGTTCCAGGCTCGGAGACTGGAGAAGGACTGGGACATTTTCACCTTTAGGGCAAAAAGAGTGAATAAATTAAAACTAGTCTCAACTTCCTGAAGAACTTCAGTTTAGAGTTATAAATAAAGAACAGATTGTAAATATGAATCAGAGCTTAATTACTCAAAATAAACAAGAGATTTTGGACCATCAGACCACCAGATATAGGAGCAGAATTAGACCATTTAACCTATCAAGTCTGCTTTGCTATCCAATAAGGGCTGATATGTTTCTCAACCCCATTCTCCTGCCTTGTCCCTGAAATACTTGTTACCCTTACTGATCAAGAACATTTCTATCTCTCTCTTCAATGCACTTAATGACTTGGCCTCCACAGATTTCTGTGGCTATAAGTTCCACAGATTCACCACTTTCTGGCTGAAGAAATTCCTCCTTATCTCAAATATATAGGGTCATCCCTTCACACTGAGACTGTGCTCTCAGGCCGCGGTCTCTCCTACATGTGGGAATATATTCTCCATGACAACTCTATCCAGGCCTCCCAGTATTCTGCAAGTTTCAATCAGATCACACCTCAGCCTTCTAAACTCCATTGAACACAGAATCAGAGTCCTCAACTGCTCTTCATGTGACATTCCCTTCAACCCTGTGATCATCAATGTGAACATAGAAACATAGAAGACAAGAGCAGGAGGAGGCCATTTGGCCCTTTGCACCTGTTCTGCCATTCATCACAATCATGGCAGATCATCCAACTCAATAGCCTAATCCTGCTTTCATTCCATAACCTTTGATCCTGATCACCCCAAGCGCTATAGCTAGTCGCCTCTGGAATACATTCAATGTTTTGACATCAACTACTTCCTGTGGTAATGAAATCCACAGGCTCCCCACTCTTTGGGTGAAGAAATGTCTCCTCATCTCTGTTCTAAATGGTCTATCCCAAATCCTCATACTGTAACCCCTGGTTCTGGACACGCCCATCATTGGGAACATCTTCCCTGCATCTACCCTGTCCAGTCCTGTTAGAATTTTATAAGTCTCTTTGAGATTCCCCCCTCATTCATCTGAGCTCCAGTGAAAACAATCCCAACTTAGTCAATCTCTCCTCATATGTGAGACTCACCATCCCTGGAATCAGCCTGGTAAACCTTCGCTGCACTCCCTCAAGAGCAAGAGCATCCTTCCTCAGAAAAGGAGGCCAAGTCTGTACAGAATATTCTAGGTGCGGTCTCACCAAGGCCCTGTACAATTGCAACAACACATCCTTGCTCCTGTACTTGAAATCCCTCACAATGAAGGCCAACATACTATCTGCCTTCTCTGGACCCTCTCCACCGTCAGCACATCCTTCTTTAAAGTCTATTCTTAGAAATAAAACTATATAAAATCATTGAAAAAAAAATCTTAATAAATTCAGACCACTTGAGGTTCTGAGAATTCAGTCTCAAAAGAAAAGTTATTTCCTTCATGTTCAAATCAAGGAGGCAAGCCGGGTTCTTAGAGTTATACCCATGGGAAAAGGAGTCAATCTAACAGGTTTGGAATTTCTGTTACCAGAATCAATTTTCAAAAATGCAGCTGAAAAGAATGAAGACAAAGAGAATTAGGCTGATATGTTCACAATATCTTCTTTAACATAAATACAAGAAACTGGATCCTGAATTGGAAGAGTTTTATAAAACAGCCTCCTCAGAAATGGAATCATAAGCAATCCCAGAGTGTTATTACTTGAAAGACAAAGTATTAATGATGAAATAAAGCCTGCCCCAAATACCAGGAGATGAGGAATGGACAGAGGTCCATCATGTCATAGAATCATAGAATCTCTACAGTATGAAAACAGGCACTTCGGCCCAACAAGTCCACACTGACTCTCAGAGCATCCCACCCAGCCCCATTCCCCTGTAAACCCACCTAATCTACACACCCTTGAACACTATGGGCAATTTAGCATGGCCAATCCACCTAACCTGCACATCTTTGGACTGTGGGAGGAAACCGAAGGAAACCCACACAAACACGGGGAGTATGTGCAAACTCCACACAAGCAGTTGCCTGAGGGTGGAATCAAAACCAGGTTCGAGATGCTGTGAGGCAGCAGTGCTTACCACTGTGCCACCATGCCACCCTGTAAATTGCTCAATCCGAGGATCAGAATGAAATTTTACAAATTAGCTCATGAAATTCGAATGGCAAACATTTACAGATAAGCAACACACAATCTAAAATATTGAAACATTTTTCTTGGTCAGGATTATGTAAAGATGTTAAATTTTACCAGACAAGCTGGTCCATATCAGGACTTAGGGGATCCCCAACTCTCAACTAAAACTTCACCTTTGATTGTGATCACAGCTTTTGAAGAACCATTTAACAGGGTCTATGTAGGAGCCAAACCTAAAACCAGGAATGGAAACCAATGGGTCGCTGCAGTGCTTCAAGAAGGCTGTTCACTGCCACCTTCTCAAGGGCAATAAGGGTGGGCAATAAATGCTGGCCCAGCCAGTGACACCCACATCTCACAAAACAATTGAAACAATTGCTGAACCTGAGCTCAGCTTCCTCCCCACGGTGAATCCATCCCCGAAATCACTGTCCATCACCTCCTCAATCGACTTGATCACAAACATATCTCCAATTCATTCATTGGGCTAGCAGTTATTGCTGGAGGCGATTGTCATGTTATCTCTACTTACTGGTGATATTGAGCAGGATTCCACTCCCATAGATCCTTCCCTGCACTGAGCAGTAATAGACCCCAGTGTCACTGGGCTGTACGTTTGTGATAGTCAGAATGAAGCTGTTATTGGAAGAGTCTCTGGAAGGCTGGAATCGCTCAGTGAATCCTGGGCTCCATTGTGTGGAGCCACTTCTCGGATGTGTTAAAATCTGCTTCATAATTTGGTCCAGGGACAGCCAGTACCAATGAACGTCGATACGTGTCACTGCGGCATTCCTCATGGTGCACTGTAACTGGGCAGTGTGACCCTCGGTGGTATGTTCCAGCCTCGGAGATTGGAGAAGGACCGGGCCAGTGATACCTTTAAAGGAAAAGATAATAATAATAAGTTTATTTCTACAAGAGCAGATTCTCCATATTGCTGTACTGAAAGGATCTGACAGGGTGGTAGGAGTTTTCAGTTAAACAGAAAGAACACATTGTTACACTAAATCATTGAGCTACATCTGTGACTGATTCAGATGAAATAAAATCCATTGACAGAAATAGAAATAATTAAACAAATAATATGATGCCAAATAATACTTCTTAACTCCCTTCAGAATCTCATCAACATCTTGGATGTGCCAATTTCTAGAAGGACAAGGGCAGCAGATACATAGGAATACTATCCCCCACAAGTTTCACCCCCCAAGCCACTCCCCATCCTGACTTGGAAATATATCGCCATTCTTTGTCCGTCACTCAGTCAAAATCCTAGAATTTCCTCCCTAAGGGCATTGTGGGTAAACCCACAGCACATGGAGTGCAGGAGTAAAGAAGGCAGCTCCCTCCCAGTAATAGCAACAATAATAATAATGGAGATAGTGAAGATGATGATGGTGGTGGTGGTGGTGATGATGATGATGATGGCGATGGTGATGTTGATGGTGATGGTGATGGTGATGGTGGTGGTAGTCATGATGATGGGATCAGTAGAACGTTTAGAAATGTAAAATATGATCCAGCAGAATCAGAATGATGTCATTAAGGATAAATAAGGTCAGAGAAATTGACTGGGATTCTTTGACGAGGTAAGAAGCAGGATAGATAAAGGAAATCCAGTCGATGTAAAGTATTTGGATTTTCAAAATGCTTTTGATAAGGTACCACACATTAGGCTACTTAATAAGTTGAGAGTCCTTGGTGTTGCAGGTAGTATGGATAGACAATTGGCTAACTAAACGATGACAGAGGGTTGGGATAAAGGTGGCATTTTTAGGGTAGCAACCTATAATTTGTGAGGTGCCACAGGGCTCAGTGCTGGGGCCACAATTATTGACAATATATATCAATGACTTGATAAGGTTAATGAGCCTATGGCAGCCAAGTTTGTGGATGGCACAAAAATAAATGGGAAGGCAAGAAGTGAGAATGACACAAAGAGTCTCCACAGGGCAGGAGTAATGGATGTTGATGAGGATAGGGCAGTGGATGTTGTCTACATAGATGTTACTGAAACATTTGACAATGTCAGTTATGGTGGGCTGATTAAGTCACATGGGATCCATGGTAAGTTGAATACAAAACTGGCTTGGTCATAGAAGACAGATGGGTGTTTTCCTATCTGGAGGTCTGTGACCAGTGGTGTTCCACAAGGATAAGTACTGGGACCTCTAATGTTTGTCATATACAGAAATAATTTGGATGAAAATGCAGCTGGAATGATTATTAAGCTGCAGACTACATGAAAATTGGTGGAGTTTGGATCATGAGGAAATTTGTCAAAGGATGCAGCAGGATATAGCTCCTTTGGAATGTTGGGCAGAGAAATAGAACGTGAAGTTTAATCTGGACAAGTGTGAGGTGATGCAGTTTGAGATGTCAAATGTAAGAGGAAAGTATACAGTAAATGGCAGGACCCTTAGGGCATTGATATACAGAGGGATCTTAGGATGCAAGTCCACAGCTCCCTGAAAGTGGCAATATAAGTTGATAACTTGGTAAAGGCATACGGCATGCTTGCATTCATTGGTCGGGGCATTGAAAGTTGGCAAGTCATGTTGCAGCTGTATAAAAGTTTTGTTTGACTACATTTGGGACACAGTGTGCAGTTCTGGTTGTCATACTATAGGAAAGATATGGAGGCTTTGGAGAGGGTGCAAAAGATGTTTACCAGGATGTTGGCTGAATTGAAGTGTATTAGTCTGTAAGGAGAGGGTGGACAAACTCAGATTGTTTCTGCTAGAGCATTGGAGACTGAGGGATGATCTGATAGAAGTTTATAAAAGTATGAGTGGCATGGATAGTCAGAGTCTTTATTTACATTGTGGAAATATCATATACTGGGGGCATAGGTTGAAGATGAGATGGGAAATGGGGTCAGTCCAGGGAAGACGGACAGGTCAAGGGGGCGGGATGAGGTTAGTAGGTAGGAGATGGGGGTGCGGCTTGAGGTGGGAGGAGGGGATAGGTGGGAGGAAGAACAGGTTAGGGAGGCGGGGACGAGCTGGACTGGTTTTGGGATGCAGTAGGGGGAGGGGAGATTTTGAAGCTTGTGAAATCCACATTGATACCATTGGGCTGCAGGGTTCCCAAGCGGAATATGAGTTGCTGTTCCTGCAACCTTCGGGTGGCATCGTTGTGGCACTGCAGGAGGCCCAGGATGGACATGTCGTCTGAGGAATGGGAGGGGGAGTTGAAATGGTTCACGACTGGGAGGTGCAGTTGTTTATTGCGAACCGAGCGTAAGTGTTCTGCAAAGCGGTCCCCGAGCCTCCGCTTGGTTTCCCCGATGTAGAGGAGGCCACACCGGGTACAGCGAATGCAGTATACCACATTGGCAGATGTGCAGGTGAACATCTGCTTGATGTGGAAAGTCTTCTTGGGGCCTGGAATGGGGGTGAGGGAGGAGGTATGGGGGCAGGTGTAGCACTTCCTGCGGTTGCAGGGAAAAGTGCCGGGTGTGGTGGGGCTGGAGGGGAGTGTGGAGCGGACAGGGGAGTCACGGAGAGAGTGGTCCCTCCGGAAAGCAGATAAGGGTGGGGAGGGAAAGATGTCTTTGGTGATGGGGTCGGATTGCAGATGGCGGAAGTGTCGGAGGATGATGCGTTGGATCCGGAGGTTAGTGGGGTGGTACGTGAGGACGAGGGGGATTCTTTATTGGTTCTTATTGCTTGGACGGGGTGTGAGGGATGAGTTGCGGGAGATGTGGGAGACACGGTTGAGGGCGTTCTCGACCACTGAGGGGGGGGAATTACGGTCCTTGAAAAACGAGGACAACTGAGATGTATGGGAGTGGAATGCCTCATCCTGGGAGCAGATGCGGCGGAGGTGAAGGAATTGTGAATAGGGGATGGCATTTTTGCAGGAAGGTGGGTGGGAGGAGGAGTATTCTCGGTAGCTGTGGGAGTCGGTGGGCTTGAAATGAATATCGGTTTCTAGGTGGTTGCCCGAGATGGAGACAGATGTCCAGGAAGGTGAGAGAGGTGTTAGAGATGGTCCAGGTGAACTTAAGGTTGGGGTGGAAGGCGTTGGTGAAGTGGATGAACTGTTCTCCGAACTGATCTCCAACTATCTGGATTCCATTTTCTCCCCCTTGGTCCAGGAACTCCCTACCTATGTCCATGACACCACCTCCACCTCCTCCAGAACTTCCAATTCCCCGGTCCCCAACACCTCATCTTTACCATGGACGTCCAGTCCCTCCACACCTGCATTCCCCATACAGATGGCCTAAAGGCCCTCCGCTTCTTCCTGTCCCGCAGGCCCGACCAGTCCCCCTCCACTGACACCCACATCCGCTTAGCCAAACTCGTCCTCACCCTCAACGACTTCTCTTTCAATTCCTCCCATTTCCTACAGACAAAGGGGGTGGCCATGGGTACCCGCATGGGCCCAAGCTACGCCTGCCTCTTTGTAGGTTACGTGGAACAATCCCTCTTCCGTACCTACACTGGTCCAAAACCCCACCTCTTCCTCCGTCACATTGATGACTGTATCGGCGCCGCCTCGTGCTCCCATGAGGAGCTCGAACAGTTCATCCACTTCACCAACACCTTCCACCCCAACCTTAAGTTTACCTGGACCATCTCTAATACCTCTCTCCCCTTCCTGGACCTCTCTGTCTCCATCTCAGGCAACCACCTAGAAACCGATATTCATTTCAAGCCCACTGACTCCCACAGCTACCTAGAATACTCCTCCTCCCACGCACCTTCCTGCAAAAATGCCATCCCCTATTCCCAATTCCTTCGCCTCCACCGCATCTGCTCCCAGGATGAGGCATTCCACTCCCGTACATCTCAGTTGTCCTCGTTTTTCAAGGACCGTAACTTCCCCCCCTCAGTGGTCAAGAACGCCCTCAACCGTGTCTCCCACATCTCCCACAACTCATCCCTCACACCCCATCCAAGCAATAAGAACCAATAAAGAATCCCCCTTGTCCTCACGTACCACCCCGCCAACCTCCAGATCCAACTCATCATCCTCCGACACTTCCACCATCTGCAATCCGACCCCACCACCAAAGACATCTTTCCCTCCCCACCCTTATCTGCTTTCCGGAGGGACCACTCTCTTCGTGACTCCCCTGTCCGCTCCACACTCCCCTCCAGCCCCACCACACCCGGCACTTTTCCCTGCAACCGCAGGAAGTGCTACACCTGCCCCCATACCTCCTCCCTCACCCCCATTCCAGGCCCCAAGAAGACTTTCCACATCAAGCAGATGTTCACCTGCACATCTGCCAATGTGGTATACTGCATCCGCTCTACCCGGTGTGGCCTCCTCTACATCGGGGAAACCAAGCGGAGGCTCGGGGACCGCTTTGCAGAACACCTACGCTCGGTTCGCATTAAACAACTGCACCTCCCAGTCGCGAACCATTTCAACTCCCCCTCCCATCCCTCAGACGACATGTCCATCCTGGGCCTCCTGCAGTGCCACAACGATGCCACCCGAAGGTTGCAGAAACAGCAACTCATATTCCGCTTGGGAACCCTGCAGCCCAATGGTATCAATGTGGATTTCACAAGCTTCAAAATCTCCCCTCCCCCTACCGCATCCCAAAACCAGTCCAGCTCATCCCCGCCTCCCTAACCTGTTCTTCCTCCCACCTATCCCCTCCTCCCACCTCAAGCCGCACCCCCATCTCCTACCTGCTAACCTCATCCCGCCCCCTTGACCTGTCCATCCTTCCTGGACTGACCTATCTCCTCCCTACCTCCCCACCTACACTCACCTTTACTGGCTCCATCCCCGCCTCTTTGACCTGTCTGTTTCCTCTCCACCTATCTTCTCCTCTATCCATCTTCTATCCGCCTCCCCCTCTCTCCCTATTTATTTCAGAACCCCCTTCCCCTCCCCCCTTTCTGCTCCTATGATGCTGCTTGGCCTGCTGTGTTCATCCAGCCCTGCACCTTGTTGTCTCATAACTTCTGTGCTGCTCCTTTGCTTTACTATTCCATGTTCTCTGTTTGATGTTCCATGTTCTGGAGAGGAGGATGCTGCACCCACCCACGCCCCCACCAACTCTAATGAGACTGAAACACTCCTCACATTGCAGATTCAGGCACTGCTCTCTCAGAGTACCCCTCTGACTGATCCCCTCCTCAGTTTCCTCTCAGCACCAATGGTATCTCCTCTAGACTCTGATCATCTCTGTTGTGTCCCCAGGGCAACATTCCCGAACACCTCGCCATTGTCATTTCACCCTCGGAAACCTGCTCAACATTTCCATCTGCCCCATTACTGCATTGTCCGTCCACCTCCACCAATCATCCCAAGGCTGTTTCCACTCTCTCTTCAGCTCAGCAAACAGCCACATGGCACTAACACCCATAGATGATGCCTGAGGTTAAATGCAGAAAGAGGCAAATTTACGGAATTACTGAACCTGAACTGAGCTTCCTCCTCACAGTGATTCCATCTCTGATATCACTCTCCATCTCTCTATCACCTCCTTAAATTTCTTGATAACAAACTGATCTCCAATTCATTCACAGACTGGAGGTGATTCTCATGTAAACTGTACTTACTGTTTACAATGAGGTGGCTTCCTCCACCAGGGACATTTCCCCAGGCTGAGCAGTAATAAACCCCAGTGTCACTGGACTGCACGTCTGTGATGGTCAGAATGAAGCTGTTACGAGAGGAGTCTCTGGAAGGCTGGATTCGATCAACGAAACCTGAGATCCATTGTATGTAACCATTTCTTTCATGTGTTAAAAGCAGTTTCATATGACTGCCTGGTTCTTGTCTGTACCAGTGAACATCGGTGTGTGTCACTGTGGCATTCCTCATAGTGCACTGCAACTGGGCAGTGTGACCCTCAGTGACACATTTAAGGATTGGAGACTGGAGAAGGACCGCACCAGATGTACCTTTAAGGGAAAAACGTCAAGAATTTCAGAATCAATTCTCTGGGTTACAATGTGCTGCCAGTTGTTCAAACGGACATTTCAGATGGAACAAGTTGTGGATTAAGTAGAGAAATGGTTTCAGATTGAACCAGTGGAGTTGCAGCAGATCAAACAAAACTTAATTGAATAATTAAATAACTTTAATAACTGTTAGTGTAAATATTTACTTAGGAACAGCAGCGTCAGTGTGTAGAGTGATGTTGCCTGAACAATGGGCAGCTCTTGATTACAACTCCCAGGCTCAAGTTCTCCCCACTCTCTGTCCCCACCAGAGGCTCTGAGCTCCTCATGTCTCCCATTCCCTTCTCCCTGATCCCAGCCCCATCTTGTGACCCATTCATTGCTCAGATAATGCAGCATAGAACATAGAACATAGAACATAGAACATTACAGCGCAGTACAGGCCCTTCAGCCCTCGATGTTGCGCCGACCTGTGAAACCAATCTGAAGCCCATCTAACCTAAACTATTCCATTATCATCCATATGTTTATCCAATGACCATTTAAATGCCCTTAAAGTTGGCGAGTCAACTATTTTTGCAGGCAAGGCATTCCACGCCCTTACTACTCTCTGAGTAAAGAACCTACCTCTGACATCTGTCCTATATCTATCACCCCTCAACT